TTAAGTTATGTCTTATGATTACAAAAATTTTGTCTGCGGTAACCTTAACAACTATTATTGAAAGTCTAAAAAACAAAGAAAATTACAGATTCTTTAGTTCATTTATTGCGCTATTGTAAATACTAATTGTGCTGTCATCTAGTCTCTACACTTGTAAAATACACATCAACTACGCTCTCAAATTCATGATCTTTGTAGATGTCTAATCTAACTATCCATGTCTCATCTAACTATCCAGTTATCGATTACTTAGAGCACTGTATTATTGACTATACTAATTGGAAGATATCACGTAATTTTTTGTCAAGCGCTTTTGTGCAGATAGAACGGACTAAACTGAATCGAAAAATCCTTTATCGTTTTACAATTTTCACAATGATTAACGAGATATTAATTACTAAAAATTACCGAATATTGATCTTCAATAATTTTTTACTCAAATATTATCAACTTTACAGAAAAACAATAAGAAACAAAAAATTATTTATTTTCTTCTCATAGAGCTCTGAAATTTTTTTCAGAATTTTTTTAGAATTTTTTAATACCGTATTTTCTCATATTGGTAAAAATAGTTGTCAATTAGAAAATGCTTTAAAACGTTAATAAAAAATTCTGAAAAAATTCTCAGAGCTCTATGAGAATAAAATAAACAATTTTTGTCTCTTGCTATTTTTCTGTAAAGTTGATAGTATTTAAATAAAAAATTTTTGGAAATCAATATTTAGCAATATTTAGTAACTAATATCTCATTAAGTAATTGCGAAAATTACAAAATAGTACAGAATTTTTCGACTCAGTTTAGTCCGCTCTATCTACATAAAAGTGTTTGGCAAAAAATTATGGGACACTCTGTACATACAAGTATCCAGATTCCGACGAGATATTATTATGCCTCATCTATAATATGCGGAATAAGCTTGGTGTACGAAGAAAGAATAAGGAATTAACCAATCACAAATAATTAATTTTCTCACATTCGACTGTGATTGATCAATTTTTTTCTTTTATTTCTTACATTCAGTTTACTTCTTACATTCAGTTTATCGCATATTATAGACGCATTAAAGACGGACCTAGACAAATTTTCATGATTCCCATACAGCACGAAGTCAACTATTAGTCGGCACTGTTAATCGACAGAAGAAGTTGAAAGTCAACTTTGAAGATTGAATGTCAATTTTGACTAAAAATCGACAAATGTCCCGAATATAGTATTCAATTCAAAGAAATTGTATTCAATTCAAAGTCGACTTTATGGCGACTATAAATCGACAATTGTCTATAATATTTGTAGGTTATAGCTAGATTAACTTTTAGTCGATATTATGGCGTTTATAAGTCGTCTTTTAGCTAATTTAGCCTGTTACGTCCAAATTCCACAGTTCTTTTCTTCGATGGGAATTTTCGTCGTCATAAAAGTTCTTAACAAGTAAATTAACAAATAGTTTAACAAATAGTTTACCTATAAATCTGTTTCTACCATAAAAAATTGTAATAGTAATGAGCCGAATAACATTCGCCTTTGTAAACTAATAATCCACTCGGGACAAAATTGTTAAATTAAATATTTAAACCAAGTGTCGAATAGAAGAACTTTATCCCGAGAAACAAAAGAAGTAAATTGATTAGGAATTTATAAACTGAAACAGCGGTTGTCTATAATAAATGACACATATGGCTCTAACATGAACATCCGGCAAATAGTGACAAAAGATAGATAGATGACAAAAATGACTAATGTTGATTCATGTCACTTATTCCAGTATCCAATTTACAATCGATTCACTCCCTAATCCTAATCCTAAATTAGATTATCATTATCATTAAATATGCGAGGCCTGTACACAGCACTATTAACTCACGAATGTAAAAAGAAGCCTTTTGCGAACGCGAAGTTAGTCAAAACTCAGCTACAAAACTCTGCCGATCCGCTACCAGTCAAATTTCAATCACGAAACTGTCGGTCTGTTACTAGTTCTTTCAACCGACTTTAGTTGTGATCCGCGATCAGATCTCTCAACCCTGATCTTAATCGCGGTATGGTCGAGTCACTCAATCGAAACCAGTGCATCCAAATCGCTTGCCCCTCCTTCCCTCTCTGAATCATCCACGGGACATTCAACCCCTTACAGTCATCTCCGATGATCATCTCCAAAAGT